AAGCCCTGTCCTGCAGTAACCTGCGATTTTCGCTGAAGCCCCTTTCTACATCAGCGTTGCCGTGGGGGATGCTAAGCAAGGCCTTCACAAGTTTACTAAGAAGTGGGTACTTGGTTGTTCCATCACCCTTCTTCAAGTCGAAGGCAGCTCGCCAATATTCATCAATGTTCTCGGCGCTTTCAAGTGTATCCAGCTGGAAAACAGTGTACTCATCCATCAGCATCGAAATTTCACTAGGCTGTATCACTTGAGGCAACTTCATAGCCAGGCACCTTAGCTCAGACCCGGATGATTCTTCTTCCCTGGCATTCGGAGAGAGGCATCTCAGGCTCCGCAGTGTCATGTTTTGAAATGGCAGTCTTTACAGCAGGTAGTCAGTGGCCTTCAGGTAAAAATTTCGAGCACCCAACCGAAATGCCCTTTTCTCAGCTGGTTCCCAGTTTGACATTGCTGCCTCTGAAAAGGTAGCAATGTCTTCCCCTACCTCTACAGAGGCCTTCCAGATTGCGGGTGAATTAATATCCAAACGTGGCAAATCTTTCCCATTTACCAAACGGTACGCTTCAGATCTGACAAAGTGGCCAAGAAGCTTCTGCACAAAAACCACCATCTCCTCATACAGACGATGCACCAGCGGTTCACTTCCCTGGAAACGGATAGGAACGACATGAAAATTTCGGAAACGTTTCTAATAAATAGAAGATTCGCGAAGAGAGTTTTGTCAGAGAATGCCCTCCTCAAGCGCTCACGCAACTGGCCTGCGGGGCAGCTGGTTAAAATCTGATAACACGATGGATTTCACAGCCAGAAATTGCTCAGTTAAGTGCTCCACAGCCGGTCCCAAAGTGAGCCAAAGCAAGTTGACATGACGCAAAAACACATTTTCAGGCAGATTAAAAGCTACCTGCTCTGCCTTCAACAAATCATTGTGAGCCGAAGGATTCTTAAAAAAGTAATAAACATCGACCACAGCAGCCTCGACATCCGAGCTAAAGGCACTCAAGCCGCAGGCAAATGAGTTGTGAACTTTGTGCAAGCAGCACTCTCCTACGTCTATGATGTCACGGTATGCTTCCTGCATCTTTTTTCTGAAGCTTTTAATTACATTAGGGCCATTTGTAGAAAAGCAAATTACATTTTTCTGCGGCAGGTCCATTATTGCTCTCCGCACTTCACTAGCCAAAATTTCTGAAGTCGCAGAGCCTAGCCGGAAAGACTGTAGGTGTTCCACAACAACTCACTGCATTTTGTTAGAGAAATACCTAACTACAATATCAAGTTGTTGGCACCTCTTTTCAGGAAGAGGGGTCTCGTTAATGCTAACAGAAAAAAAAACATCCGGCTTGTTCAGCTCGTCAAGCACAAGTTTCTTGAAATACGGCCCGAGGACATCACTAACTATGTAGGATGCCTTGAACCTCTTACAACTAAACTGCTTCGCTGTTTCGGAATCTCCAAACATCTTGGGAAACGAGGCAGTTGCTATGTCATCCCACGAGAATGGGATGCCCTTGAGAGTCATGCCAAGCACAAACAGAGTTTCTGCGTTTGTCACGTCACACTGCAAAAGTTCCCTGGACTGCCGAATTCCGAAGTCGGCTGGATTGTTTTCGGCCGCTGCAGCACACCTGAAGCGTCTCGATTACGACTGGTAGCATCAATGTGCCGTTTCATGGTTGCATGTCGCTTGAGCGCTGTTACGCCATGATGCCTACAGTTGATACTTTGATTACAAAAACACAAAATGCAGCTCCTTCGTCCGCTTGACGACACCATATTGATATTTTGTCTCAATTTTCATCACTCTCGTGAAGAACGTCCGCGTTGAACTTCGTGCAACGGCCTTCACAACAGAGAAAGAAAAAAAATGAAGTTTTCATTTTTGCATAATAGCAGATTTACAGCAGGCAAGCTAAAAATTGCTTGTTACTACGAAAATGCTATCAAAAATCGAGAGAGCGACTCGACAGCTATCAGGCGAGCGCCTACCAAAACACCAGCAGCGGGACGGCCTACTATAAATACTGAGGAGACTTCGAATAGCATACGCGAACTTTTGCGTTTGCATTCGTCGCCACTGCGCAAGCGCCATACCCCTCTTGAAGACCCACGTTAAGTGCCGGATTAGCGGGTGACCACGCTGAACACTAACTTAGCGTATGCTATTTTACAATACAAAACTAGGCTCTGCCACGCGTTGCACATGCATGTTTTTTTTTTTGCTGACGTCAGCACTGTCACGATATAAAGCGATAGGCCGCTGATTCCAGTGTTATTGTTAAAAACAGCGGGCCGCGATTTCCGGCAACAAACATGCAGCACCTTCACGACACGACCAAAGCGCCTCCGATAACGCCAAGCTCGCCCATTAAAATCCGAGAGTAAAATTGCCCGAGTGCGTGCTTTACCGCAATTACAACAGCAATAAACAGTAAATCAGCCATCAGTTAGTCTTGTCAAGGTAAAAAAAGCCGCTCCATCATTTGTTATGCCTAAACATCATCTGCTATGCCTAAACGTGCTCATGAAATGATATTCTTATCGACATGCAGTGGAACACGTATCAAATGCGCAAAACACAGGGAAAATACACAAACCTTTCAGCTGTGGCGACGCAAAGCGGTGCTTCTGTGTGCGGTGCAGAGAGCGCATGCGCCCGCATGAGAAAGTTATCTTCGAGAGGAAGGGTGATAATAAAGGTCAGTTGTTGTTTGGGACGCGAGTTGTTCACTTGCGCAGCTCTGCCGAGCGACGCGTCTCAACATTGGTGACCCGGACTCGGAATACAGACACAGCGACCGGAGTGTCGAACCAGCCGCAATATGTATTCAACGTCCACGACCAACGCCCCTTCGACAGTCTCTTCAGTCGACGGTAAGCTGCCTCCTTTTTGGACTGCGGACCCCGCACTTTGGTTCATACAAGTGGAATCTCAGTTCACAGCCAGACGAATCACCGCAGACCTTACGAAATACCACTACGTAGTCAGCAGTCTGCCGCCCGCCATAGCCAGTGAAATCAGGGATCTGTTGCTCGCACCACCTGTCGAAAACGCATATATGCAACGCTAAAAGAAACCCTTATTCGCCGAGTTACGCCCTCCGAACCACAACGACTGCAGCAATTGCTTCGCGGCACGGAACTCAGCGACCGTACTCCTAGTCAGCTTTTGCGGCACATGCAACAGTTGCTTGGCGGAACATCAAACACGATAGGTGGAGTATTGCTCCGAGAACTTTTTTTGCAAACGTTGCCTGCAGGCGTCCGCATGGTAATCGCGGCCTCAGAGCACAAGGATTTAATCGCAGCCGCCGAACTTGCTGACAAACTGGTAGCAATGACACCGCTTACACCCATGGCTGCCGTGCAAGCGCAACAGCCTCTAAACGAACTTCAAGAGATGCGTGAGAAGATTGCTCGACTTGCCGAAACAGTATCAGCTTTGCACGCTAGCAGGAGGGCGCAAACGATAACCGAGCCTAACAAGCCGCTATCGCAAGAGCAGCACGAGCATATCTGCTGGTATCATCGGAGGTTCGGAAGAAGTGCGCGTAAATGTGTCCCACCGTGCACGCACTCGGGAAACAGCCGCGGCAGGCACTGAGGGCGACCAGTGCTACTACGTTGCCTCCAAGTCGTCCCTCAGTATTCTTTATTACCGACCGCAACAACGGAGTACGTTTCTTAGTGGACACAGGCGCCAAGGTGAGCGTTATACCGGCGTCACAAGCTGAAAGAAAGAAACCAAGTACATCGCCCTTGCAAGCTGTCAATAACACGGTGATGACAACATATGACAATCGTTCACTGTCGCTGAACTTCGGTTTCAGCAGAACGTTTAGCTGGGTGTTCATAGCTGCTGATGTCAAATTCACCATACTAGGCGCAGACTTTCTCCAGTTGTCGGTCTGTTGGTCGACGTCCGCAACAAACGGCTTTAAGATCCCGTTTCTCGGGGAGCGGTACAAGGCACGCCGTGTTGGCACCCCCCTATCAGCCCGGCCTTGCTTAGTCCGGCTGGAGAAGCGTACTTCACCGCAATACTACAAGAGTTCCCAGAGCTGACACGACAGCCACAGGCATTTCCAGAAGTAAAGCACGGCGTCCTGCATCACATCAAAACCACAGGCCCACCGGTCTATGCGCGACCACGGCGCCTGTCACCCGAGAAGCTGCGGTTGGCTCGACAGGCGTTTGCCCACATGATGGAACTCGGGATAGTACGTCCTTCATCCAGCCCTTATGCGTCACTTCTTCACATGGTCCCAAAATGAACAGACGGTGATTGGCGCCCTTGCGGGGACTATCGAGTGCTGAACCGGGTAACCGTGCCAGACCGTTACCCAGTCCCACACATTCATGACATGACCTCCTTCCTGCATGGTGCTACCATTTTCTCTAAAATAGATCTAGTGCGAGCATATCATCAGATACCCGTATCACCGGAGGATATCCCCAAGACCGCAATAACAACGCCGTTCGGAATGTTCGAGTTCCTACGCATGCCTTTCGGCTTACGCAACGCCGGCCAAACTTTTCAACGGTTTATGAATGGCGTTGTCCGTGGCCTCGACTTTTTCAAGGTATACCTCGATGATCTTCTGATTGCTAGCAGCACTCCTGAAGAGCACGAGCGGCATCTGTGCTACGTACTTCGCTGACTGACAGAGAACGGCATCGTTATCAATACGGCAAAGTGCGTGTTTGGGGTACCGACACTATCATTTTTGGGCCACAGCATTTCAAGTGCAGAAGTACAGCCCCAGAAGGACAAGGTAGAAGCAGTACGGCAGTTTCCACAGCCGAGAAACCTCCGCCAGCTTCGAGAGTTCCTGGGACTCGTGAATTTCTACCATAGGTTTATCCCGAAATGCGCCAACATCCTTCACCCTCTCCACGGCCTACTTGCGGCATCTGGATCAAAGGCAACTGCCATTCAGTGGAACGACCAATCCACACAAGCATTCCGGATGATAAAGGAAGCTCTCGCAAATGATACCATGCTCACGTACCCGCAGCTGGGTGTTCCTCAGTGCGTCATGGTGGACGCCTCCGATGCAGCAATTGGAGCCGTGTTGCAGCAGAGGGTCAGCGGAGTGTGGCGACCAATTTCCTTCTTCTCCAGAAAACTGAGCCCGTCCGAACGAAGGTACAGCACCTTCGGTAGGAAACTCCTGGCCATATACGCGGCTGTCCGGCATTTCCGACATTATGTGGAAGGACAAGAATTTTTTGTGCTCACGGATCACAAGCCACTCACCTACGCATTGCGCCCGAACTCCGATTCTGGTGCACACGTGGCACGGGAGCTCCGTCAAATGTCGTACATCGCAGAATTCACGACAGACATACGCCATGTTAGTGGCATGGATAATGCTGCTGCCGACGCTCTTTCGCGCGGTCCAGTAAATGCCATCAGCCTGCCGAGCGGCGTAGACTTCACCACACTTACGACGGATCAACGCAGTGATGGAGAATTGAAGCGTCTACTGACGTCTTCAACCAGCGCCTTGAAGCTGCAATGGTTGGCAGAACCCACAGGATCCATATGCTGCGACATGTCTACAGGCAAGGCCCGACAGTTCGTCCACTCGAACCTCCGTCGCAGCATTTTTTACTTGCTGCACAGCCTGGCGCATCTCGGGATTCGAGCCACGCAATGGCTATGTACAGCGAGGTTCATGTGGCCAGGAATAAACCGGAATGTCCGATACTGGACACGAGAGTGCATCGCATGCCAGCGCTCCAAAGTTTAGCGACATACTGTGACCCCCTTGGGATCCTTCCCTCTGCCGGACTGTCGATTTGCCCATGTGCATGTTGACATTGTGGGACCACTGCCGTTGTGCCAGGGGCAAAGCTACTTGCTAACCTGCATCAATCGCTTCACGCGATGGCCGGAGGCCGTGCCCATTCCAGACATGACTGCTGGTATCGTCGCCCGCGCATTTATCTTCCACTGGGTGGCCCGCTTCGGAGTGCCGGCAACCGTGACTACGGATCGCGGAGCACAGTTTGAGTCCGCCCTGTTCGCAAGCGTCACCCGGCTCTTGGGTACTCACCGCATCCGAACAACTGCCTACCATCCGATTATCAACGGTATAGTGGAAAGGTTCCATCGCCATCTGAAGACGAGCCTGACGGCTACCATGAGTCACAGTTGGGTAGAGGCACTGCCGTTTGTTCTGTTGGGCGTTAGGACGGCTCTCAAAGCAGATATTGGATGCTGCTCCGCTGAACTGGTGTACGGAACAACGCTTCGCCTCCCAGGGGAGTTTTTCACTACCAGTAAGGACGAAAACGTGTACGCGAACGCGGACTACGCCGTGCGACTGTGAGACATCATGAGCAAGCTACGCGCTGTTCCTCCGCGTCCGCCCGCAGCCCGGCCAGTCTACGTGAACCGGGAACTCTCCTCCTGCTCTCACGTGTTTGTGAGGCACGACGCCGTACACCCTCCACTCCGGCCCCCGAACGACAGGCCTTTCAAGGTGCTGCGACGGGCAGACAAGCACATTACAATCGACAGAGGTGGTCGTCACGACGTGGTTTCTCTAGACCGCGTAAAACCAGCACACGTGGACTCCGACAGCGAAACACCTGCACCAACTCGAGCTCCATCTTCGCAGGCACCCACGGCAGACCACGTAGCGCAGCCCCAATAAGTCCTCAAACGGTTTACGCGGAGTGGACGGTGTACGAGACCCCCGGTGCGCATGAACTTATGAACCGCAGTGGGTCGTCCGAGTGCGGCCGTTGTGCACGCACTCACTAGGGGGGGACTACTGTGGCGACGCAAAGCGGTGCTTCTGCGTGCGGTGCAGAGAGCGCATGCGCCCGCACGAGAAAGTTATCTTCGAGAGGAAGGGTGATAATAAAAGTCAGTTGTTTGGGACGCGAGTTGTTCACTTGCGCAGCTCTGCCGAGCGACGCGTCTCAACACAGCTTTGAAAACGCCACCGCCAATGGCAGTCGGCGAGGCTTTCCACCCAGTCCCGCACACGAACTCAAGTTCACGTTCACGCACCTAGCACCTCAATGTACAGAAACAGCATGCACGACCGCCAGTTACCGCAACAAGGCTACAGTGCTAGAACACTGTTAAAACGACGACCTCCTCTATGGTCGTGGCCAGAGAACCGACAAAGCCGAGTATGGTTTGGCTTGGCTCGAATTGCATCCCGTACACTTGTACAGCGTAATGTCGCTCTCAATGGGGGAACCTCATGTAGTTAGCTTCGTTTCTGAAAGTCGGAGTACACCCCTTTGGCGCAGGCTTGGCGCAGAATTGCAAAATTTTGAGGAAATGTAGCAGGTTGTAGCAGCAAGGGCACATTGGCGCAGTCTGGTGCAATTGGCGCAGCGGTAGCATCACTGCTCTTGGAGTGAAGGGACACAGTGGACAGGGTCGGTGCAAGCCAAACAGCACATTTATTTTAGTACTTTCGAACGACAATATTCTCCGCCGAATTGATACATCAATTGTAATTAACACGCTAGGACATCATTACACAATAACACGACAAACACGCATGTAAAACACACTAACGCACCCAAGGCGGCGTCGCCAACGCTTGACTTACCACGTGGGCCTTCGGCGCACAGGCCCGCGGTGCCACGCGCCGAGGACCCTTGCTAGAGACAACCGTTCTCGGCAACCGCCTTGCGCAGAAGAGACTCTCACAACTCTCGGCTGCCACCAAGGCTCGCTTCCGCCATGGGTCACTGTCGGCACTACCCCATGATGATGACGATAGTGGTGCTCAATGCGAATACAACGCCACCTATCGCCCGGCAAAAACCGGCATCCACCCAGCCTAGGCGCAGAAGAGGCAGCCGCGAGGAGACATCCACTCTGTGAGCTGGCCCTATCGCTCGCCGCACGCAGCAGCTTACCGAGCGATCAGCGTCCACAGCCGCGGTGTCGAGCCGCAATACAAGTCAACAACGACGCCCGGCTCCCTGAGCCCAAAGAGAGAGAAGAGGCTATTTACAGAAAATCGGACCACCCACGAGGCTTCCGTTCTCACTCGCTTCGGGCCTGGCCTACAAACCACGTGCTCTAGGCCTTGCTCACCCCAGGATACAGACCGCATGGCTCTCGTCCCAATTCAACAACGGTTTTGAAAACTAACAACAACAAAAAATAACACTTGCAGGCAAAAAAAAAACTCAACCTGCCGCCAAGTTGGGACATGTCACAAATACCGATCTCTTCGCTCTCAACAAAGCACACCGCCGACGCTAGCAAAGAAGTCCCTCTAGGCCTACTCTACCTCGGCTCTAAGAAAAGCTTGTACCGAACCGCAAAAATTGTCGTCCGATACTCCAAGAGCTTCACGTTGGGCAGCCAGTGTGGGGTCTCGACGAGGCGAGCGCCACGCTCTACTCTTGGAGTGAACGGACACAGCTGGCGCGGTCGGTACAATACAAAACAACACATGCGTTTATTTAAATAATTTAGACAACGATATCGCTGCCGAATCGATACATCAATTTAATTAACACGCTAGAACATCGTTATACAATAACAAGACAGACACACAACATGTCAAACACACTAACACATCCAAGGCGGCGTCGCCAACGCTTGACTTACCACGTCAGTGAAAGATAGTTCCAGTCAGTGAAAGATCTTAAAAATTGGCACCGTTAAGCTGTGTTTGAAGTTATCTATTTCTAGAACTTCAACCAATTTAACGCAAGAAAAATTCAGTAAATAGGTGAAACTATAATCTACTGGTCAGGATAATTCGCCCTTAAACAGCTGTGCACTTAAGCAGCTTCAATGTGCTAAAGGTGGAGAGCAATCAGAGAGAAAATGCGATGTAAAAAAAAAGAAAATGATCACAATTCCAAGTTGTCATCTTTTTTTTCTACAATGCATGAATAATGTAAGTGAAAAGTGACAACATAAAAGTCACTCTGTCCGACACCAACCTGCTCGCTGGCGTTTTAAAGAAAATTCGAGAAGAAAAATTCGGCAGATCCCACGTACTTGGAAATCGACGTTATGCGAAGCATGTGGAGGAAAAGTGACCGTGTTGCAATTTTTTTTACTGAGCGACACATCATGAAATGACGCTAAGTATATGTAAAAATGCTGCACGCACAGAGATGTGTTGAAGAGTTTCAGTTTCAGAAGAGTTAAGTGATTGTTCTATATAAATTTACACCGCTTGGCGCTCATTTGCATGCGCCAGCTGTTAATGTCATGGATTAATTAACAATAACACAAAACGATCAAACTCCTTCTCTTTTTCATCATTATTCAATTCCTGAATATATGCCATGATATTGTTGTTTGTTTTTTTTTCTTCTATTTTTCCTGCTATTTCGCTTCTCTACCCCATTTTTTATCTCCCGTTTCCTTTTTTACCCTGTCATAATTTGCTTCCCTTTTGCCTTACTTCCTTTTCTTTACTCCCCTTTCAATCCCCATTTCCCCGAGAGCGTACCGGTTGAGATGTCCTCGCATGAGACAGAGTTATCATGCTCTACACACCTCCTTTTGTAACCTTTCCGTTTTACCTAAAGTAAAATAAGAAATTGCTCCCCCCTACTTCTTTGCAGGTCTAAATTACGTGACTTAGGCCCACAGATTTATTTGAGACCCCCGAAATATCTGAAGGCTCACATGACATCTTTGATCTCTAATTGAGTTTTTACTAGAAACCTACGTTTCGAAAGTATCACTTCGTGACATGCGTGGACCAAATAAACATGATTTTTATTGCAATTTCGTACTGTATTGCCAATAAACCGATTTTTCTTGGCTGTCAACGCTGCCCCCTCCTCCCTTTCGGTTCTCCGTGCGGCTATCACTGTGTCGGCCTCGTGCTAAATGGCCCTTCGCTTGCGAAGGTTGCCGACCGCTGCTTTGATCGAACAATTGGAAGATATTTTAAAGGCGAAAAAAAAATCACAGCATATCCACGGACTGGATGATGATGAGTGGGGCGAAATGTCCATCAGTCCATCCGTTCGTTCTTGCTTCCGTCCATCCATACTTCCGTTCGTGCCTCCGTCTGTCCGTGCGTGCATGCGTTTGAAAATAGACACGTCCATGCGTCCGTCCGAGCGTGTGTCCATCCGTCCATCTAATGAACACACTAATCCCACAATCTTGCTTCTTTTCATCATATATTCATCGAATACAAGTACCACCATCCAGCGGACATTCCAAGTACTAAACGGGAGGTGGCTATCTACTACTACTACTACTACTACTACTACTACTACTACTACTACTACTACTACTACTACTACTACAACTACTACTACTACTACTACTACTACTACTACATACACTGGGGACGCACGACCCAAGGCTTAAAAAGCTTCGCCCCTAAAAAAAACGTCGGGCCTGCACGGAAGGCGCAGTACATGTAGTCACAGCGAAGGCTAAAAGAGCGGCCTTTTGATGCCTTTTCTACATACTCACTTGGTAAATGCGGAAAGCACACTTTCTCGATATTCACTACAGCATTAAGAATAAAACCTTTGGTTAGTAGGCCAGCATGTGCGCTATGCTATTTTTCGTCATTGTCCTGAGAAGCGTGGTATCCGCTAAACACTTGCAAGGAATTTTGTACAAAAAATTAATGTTCATGCAATGGCTGACGACGATGAGGAATAATGCCTGAAGTGGGTATGCGGCACAGTTAATAGGTGAACAAGAACAACCGTTTGTAATGGGTTGGAGCATTGGACGACCCACTTGTTACGCTATTCGCATTGTGCGACGACTGGTTCTTATTTCGCTGATTTTAAAACGCTTTATAAGTCGTAATAACGCGATTGCTTTCCCGCCATCAAGCCTGCCTAAGGCAAGTTTGCCAACAAGTCCCGGGCACCGGCATGGCTCAGTGGTAGAATACTAAGCTGGCACCCAGTGGACCCCTGTTCGAGCCCCACTGTGTAATTGGTTGTAATTTTTTTCTAACTTCGTGCGATGTGGTTCCGGCACGGACACCGGCTGCGGCGGCGGCGGAAAAATACGGCGCCACGCGGGACCAGAGTTTTGATCTCTTAACAGCTTTCGCTTAAAAGGTGCAAGTTATCTGTTGAATTGAAATGGATCACGAACAAAAGGCAGGTACAATTAAAGTAGCTCCGGTAGTCATACGAATGAGTGAATGAACGACAGTCATCATGTACACACGTGCACGGTGGCCGAACAGAATTCCGCGTATTCAGAAATGCTCCTCGACTCGGCTTTCACCCTTCATTTGACAGAGCTGAGCATTGCGCCACTGCTCGGCTGAAAATAATGCTGCGCTACTGAAGAATCCCAGCAGATTATCGCTGATATGCAGTGACTTTCCGTGCCTATAGACGGCACTCCCATCGGCTTTCTAAAGTGAAGGTGAAGCGTTGAGTGAAGGGACGTTCTGAATTACGTGAGCTAAGGGGGCGTTCGCAGACAACTAAAGCCTGAAATACTCCTCGTCGCCGGGCAGGTTAAATATTGCCCAGCCAACATGGTACAGTTACTATAGAGGCGGCTGTCTTTATTACGCCGAGTAACCTTAGCACTTAGCAACACAGTAACCCACCTTATCTTATCCAATGCTGTAGCCAGCTTATCGGTAATTTAGTTGACACAAGTGAGCTAAATCACAGTAGCCATTAGTTAAAGAACAATCGTCGTCATTATGCATGCATGAATGAGGTGCATGACAGCATTGTGCGCCTATACCAAGACCCGGCATTCGCCGAGTGAATCGCGCTGCTGCTGTCGGCCCCTATATATACGTGTGTGCCTTCACATGAGTGGGCCACGCCGTCTCACCACTTACGGTTTCTCGGCGTCCTCTACGTCATACTGCAGTATCGCCACCACCCTACGTCAAAGACTGAGGCCACATTTTCACCTTCTGCCCCAACCATCTCTATTCCTATACGTCAAAGCAGACAAGAACAAGAGCCACCCACCATACTTTCCTGTCTGTCGGCGCACATCTTTGTTATTGTCAGTGAGCCAATAATGTATAGAATGAAGTGCGCAAACCGCATCAAGCACTTCAGACAAAGCTACGTGGGTGGAGCTTCTGCACATGTGTTACTACGCCAAGTAGTCGGTTGGCATGCGATTTTGGTTCGCACGAGCACCGATCAATAAATGTTGCATATCTTCGGAGGAAATCGGTAAAATGTTACTTTTTTAGAGTATACAATAGACCAAGCCGCTTTAATGAAGCATTAAAATTTATTTCGGAAAACAAAGGCACGTCCAAGCAGAAATTGACCAATTAGAAAAGCAACATAAGGCCTGAAAGCATTTCTTAAAATCAGTCCATACTGGGTTGCCATCGTTGTTTTCCTTCTTTTCCGGGCGCAAAAACTTTCCGGAGACGCTTATGTTATGTTTTTTTTTTATTGAACGTGAATGCGTCGACGCATGGTGTAAATCCAAGTGGGTGAAACGCAACCTTTACACGGCCAAGAACGCTGTTTTTACACAGTGAAGAGGAACGTGTCTGTTGCCCGGGCAAAGCTTTGCACTGACAATTTCATCCTTATAAGTTTCTGTCACCGCAAAGCGCAATGAACCCTTCCATCCGTAGACGCCGACAGGTACGGTGTTACAGTACGCTATTTTTAGCGTGATCGTATCAGGCAGCCGAAGTACCGATCACGTATGCAACGCAATTTAGGAGGAATGTCGTTCCTTTTGCGTACAACTTCCCGTCACAATTTCGCTCTTGCTGAAGACTGGCACGTCGCCGGTGTCACCTTCAAGGCGGCTCTCGCGATAAGAGTATACCGCTTTCACTGAAGGTATCACTCGCACACAACTTCTCGGTGATTACATGTGCGGGAAACAAAATATTCCATACGAAACACCAGTCGCTTCGTTTCTACCTGTTCGGTAAATACAGAACACTTAACGAGCACGCACTCATGCTCGCTCACAAGCTCTGATGTGAACTGGCTGCAACTGAGTGACGTCATCGTAGTTTACCGGGGCAGGAAAAAGGTGAAATGACACCAGAAAAGCCGGGAATCGGAAACAGCAAAGAACGAAAATTGTGCAGGGAGTATAGACTTCTTAATTAGAATGCGAACAATCTTGAACGTAATATTTATAACCTTTAATTTATACTTTCGGTTATGCTACGCAGTATACGAAAATTTGCGTTCGCAAACTACATGCAGAAGCGTAAAAAAAAAGGGGGCGTGCCTACGCTTCGTAGCCTTGGCTGTGCTCCCACAGAAAGTTGTCGGCGAGTCTAATTCCCGATTCCGAACACGTCCACCGAGCATGAGCGTGTGCGAGTGTGTTGTTACTTTCTGTAAGGCATCGATGAATCCCTGGTATTTCTGGTCAGCTGCTCTCGGGGCCCTCAGTCACGTATGTCTGACGCGAGGCTTCTCTTTGATAGCCGCCGACCGCTTAGGATATGGTATGGTGTGTCCACACGAGCCTGCACTGCCTCGTGCGAAACGTAAACGCATTCCTCGTCTGCGGAAAGGCCCCCTCTTCGTCGTGTAGCTTAGCCGCAGTTTGGCAAACGCATAATGCTGAAACTACGCAGAGGCGTCTAAAAGATCAGTGTACTGCTTATATAAAACGAAGATCCAGTCAGTCAACGCCCTTGGAACTGTTTGTGAGCCTCTCAGTGTTGCTGGTGCTTTTGCGTGGTGCAGTGCCCCGCGTGCGTGGGCAGTCGACGGGGAAAAGATTATAAGAGGGACGCACGCTTCAGTTTCCCGAAGTGTATACGGTGCTACCATTTCGAGTGGTTGTGTCCTTAACAGAGGCTAGACGGTAAGTGATGTGCTTCTCATATATATTGCGTCTAAAGAAGGAAAGGCGACAATCGTGGAGCATGCGGAAGCAGAATCAAGGTTGCCACAAACAAAGCCTGTTTTGACTTCTCAAGCAGCGCTGTCGTAAACACAGTTTCTCCCGAAGCTACAGTCGGCATGGTGAAAAATTCAGGCTTGCACAATAGCGACTTTCGCAAATCACGCCCTTTCGCTCTTGGTTCTCTATCGCGATGTTTCGAGGCCGGGTAGTCCACCATGGTTGGCAGGGAAAGTTTGACAGCCTATAAAAGCACGTGTTACGTTTTCGACGCAAAATTTAGCCGTCATAAATGTTATCCCAGAACAGTGGTTGCAGACATCCAGTAATATTTCTTACGCATATGTAACAACCGCATCACACGTAGTTTTCTTTGAATATCATCGTATCTAACAAAAAAAGTTGAATTTTTAAAGCTGGTTTTACTATTGGTGGAATATGATTCATTCTAAGAATTTCAAGAAAAGGTTTCTTCACACTGAACAACCTATCTCAATCATTACGTTTCATGTTCACTTACGAGCACAAAACGTGGCTTGCACGTGCGAAAACGTGTTTTGATTGAATCGCCCGAAATAGAAAGCTTCAGCTAATTGTGAAGCTAGAGATATCATTATAAAATGAATTTAATCAGTACAAACGAGTGCTTAAAAAGGAAAAGCTTTGCTAGTATAGCCCCGGACTAATATATATGCACAAAAACGTTAGAAAATACGATTTCGACTAACAGCCCCCAACGCTTAGGTCTGTTTATTATACGGACATTTTATGTACAAATAGGAGAAAACTAACAGTGCACGCTTGTTTAGTAAAAATAACCTGCTAATTATCACAGAATGTATATTTTGCTTACGTCTGGCGTGTAAAAAACATTCATGCCATAAAAATAATGAAATTCGCAGCCGTTATTGACTCGCCCTCCCATCTGCGCTGACCTATTGTCTTTATTTTGTTCCGCACAGTCTTTAGAGCACTCGCAAATTACATTACAATGTCTTTGACTATGCATGTTTTGTAACACGGGGCACAAACCGCGCCAATTCAGCGATCTTTACTGGACAAGGTTGAGCTGCCAAATTGCCAAAGCTAACGCAGCCGATGACCGTCCAGCCTCAAAAAAGTTTATTCTCCCCACGCTTATTTCTTTTTTCGCTTTTATGCAGCACTCGGAACATCGCTATACCATGGTTCTGAAGACAAGCATAGCGGCCATGGCCATGTCAACTTTACTTTTGCTTGCTTTGTCAAGCAGTGCGGACGCGTACGGATGTGACCCGTCGGCCTGCTACTCAAAATGCATCAGCCACGGTGCCTCTTCAGGCAGGTGTGTTTGGGGAGTATGCCAGTGCAGAGTCCACTACAAGCGCAGCATTGAAGAAAATGTTGCAGAAAATGAAGACTAGCAAGCTATCCTTTCCGCACCATCCCCATGATGAGCCAGGAAACAATGTACCAAGACGGCAAAACCAAAACCACGTACAGGTTCTACAGGACGCTACATTTGCGGGCTAGAGGCACAGCTGTCCCAGCTACTCTGCGCATTGGGAAGTACGCAGTGTGCTGCATTTCTACCACGAAGTGATAACTAATGTCTCTTTTGTAGTGCCCCGGGTTGGCGCAACTGTTCTGCTTCCGCTAACAATTGGCCTGTCCGAAAAACGGGGCTCACGTGCTCTGAGCCATGTATCGAACGCGAAAGTGTCCAATAGTGATTTCATATTATTGACCAAAATCCATTCGCAACTAACAGAACTACGAGACTATTTGCTATAGCACTTGCCCTAACGCCTGTCTTCTGTTCCAAGTTTTGCTTCCTGAAACCCACTTAATAATTTGAAGGTCAGATACATTGAGAAGCTTAAAATATCTTTCGCGTACGAAAATTGCCCTTATGACCTTGGCCTACGTGCATTATTAGAGAACAACGTTGATCCAATCCCGTGACACCAAATAAACGCTACTCGAAACCGGTTGTTTCTGTGTCTCGCGCTTTCCTTCTCTAGTCGGGTTTCTCGCAAAATGATGCTGCACGTATATGCGTTGAACTAAAAAATGACCTTATTACTCCGTAATTTTAACTGTAGCGTTAACAATTATAAAATATAATTGCCACAATTGAGTACGTGAAAGCTTTGCAAGCATTCAGAGTTACTAAACGGCTTCGAGGGATATCACATTTGATAATATTTAAAATCTTAAACATTCAGTCCACGCTTTGTGTTCGAGGCAAGTGGGCGTTTGTGTGCTTGAAAAAAGTGACCGGCTCAAGGAATAACATTGGTTGCGTGGTCTTTCACGAAATATATCCTGTAAAATGTCAAAGTATTTCAACAGAGAATGGTTGTAAATGATGATACAAAATCTAAACACGTGGGAAGAGACTGTATTATTTAAACGCTCTGGTGCCTTCATAGAATTACCAATGGGCAGGTGTGGCAAAAATGATTTCCTTAATAATATTTAGTTAAACTCACGGAGCCTAAAAGAAATGTGATTGATCCAAGGGCTGTGTTATTGTTTTTATTTTTATTTTTTGCAAGTTTTACGTTCCCATAAAAAAGCGGTTTTCACAATGTCTAAATACGAAAAGAAGGAACCAAGGACTACTAAAATTATTTTTATTATGTCGCATATACTCTACACTTAGAAAAGGACTTCATATTATTCTGTTTTCGAATGTAGGTACCAAATTTACTGCGAAAAATGTGCTAAAGCTCGATAAAAAGTACTTAACAGCGCAAACAACAGGGCAGAAGAGCTCTGGAGAAGAGACGAGACAGAGCGCTGAACTGCCAACAATTTATTTCTTGCAAAGGTCTTCCCTTTTATACAGTTGCCAGTCGCAATAGTCATGCGTGAAACACAATGATATTGCATAAGTACATCACACCTACAAGCAAAGGAACAACATTTCCTTATTGGTGAGCGCGACAGAAGGCGTTCTAACACAAGCATCTTTAAATGAGCAAATCTTTTCTGCCTCTATGATTTCACGTGTGGTGCGATCCGTGCATCTAGCAACAATAGTGCACTCTGAAAATATTGCCCAGCAGCCACACGTGCTGTAGTGAGCGAACAGCCATCCTTGTTTATAGTGATCCACATTGTGAATATGTTCCCTCAGCCTCTCATTTATACAACGACCTGTTTGACCGACGTAATACCTTCCACACGATAACAGCAGCTGATACACCGCATTACAGGTGAAATCTCTGAATTTATTTGCATGTTTTTTAGCGACCGAGGGTGGGTAGGGACGGAGGAACGGACAGCTTGCACAGGCGACTCAATTTTCGAGGGGCCGTAAAGACCGCTTTCACATTAACTTGCTGTGCCACTTTCTTGAGATTGTGTGCTATCTTGTTCATATACGGAACCACGGCGAAAGCATAACTACCTATGAAAGGTGGGACTGCATTATCGGCTTCTTTGGCCTTAAGTTCACGCAGCAGGCCTTCGGCAACGCAAACTTGCACGTGGTCGGGGTAACCCGCCGACGTGAGCCTTGAAGATTTCTGTATTCTTTGTGCACACGTGCAGCTTTCTGTAAGCTTTCTGTAATCTTGTGCACACGTGCAGGTTTCCCTTCCTCTATTTCTGTTTGAATGTTTGTATTTTTTGTATTTTAAGCTTTCAATAATTTTTATTAGGCACTAGTGAAGTTCTCGTCTAAAAGTTACATGACGCTTTCTTGATCGGTCCCTTCGCTATATATAGTGAAGGGACCGGCACATACCTATAGGTATGTGCCGCAGTACACAGGACATAAACAAACAGATGCTGAAGAATCCATTATCACTTGAAACTGAACGTTTTTTTTGTTTTTTTCGCTTTTCTTTGCTATTCATATCTTCGAAGAAAATTGTTGATTTTCTAGTTACTAACATCCTTCATCAAAACCACTACAAAATTAATTTCTTTAGTTCACCCAAAAACTCGGGCAGTTCAACACAGTGGGTATAAGCCATCAAGAATGGCCGTTAAACAAGAGAGCGACGAGCGCCATGGACGCCATTTTTCCAGGTTTGATTATTTTATACATTTTCATCGGAGCAGTTGATCAGCGAAGTGTCGCAACGAGTACCTGTGTCTTCTACGTCCCTCTACATCATTACGTGCAACGATTATGCGAAAGCAAAGAATTAGTCTCTTGTGTTGTGCACATCAGCCCCAAATAGGATTGCTTCTACATGCTTAGAAAGAGAGGTTGAATAGATTTTACATGTCAAGCTTGTCATAACTTCACATCATTTATGGCCCTAAAAGTTTTAACCCAGTGTACTAGCTCTATTCAGGCAAAAAATTCATTCATTTTGTGTTCACTGTAACTATATTAGAAACTTGACTACACACACGACCGTTCAGTATGCACTAAAGATGTCTCTTTGTATGTTACATTTATTTATTCTTCCAGTTAACATTTTTGTTTATAATTAATTTCTTTTCCTAATATATATTGTTTATTTATTTATGATACACTTAGGGCAAAATTGAATAGAAGAAGGGAGTCATTACAATAAATAAAGTATGCAGAACGCAAGCCCACAGCGAATTCAGGTAACACACTGATTGTACAGATTATTCAAACAGGTTTTGATACTTTAAAACAAAAAGAAAATAGCCAAACAAGTTCAGGGGTACATGTAGGAGGTAGTTTTCCCCGTTCTCCAGCTGATGCTGTGGTAAAGAGGTCCACGGGACCGCTTTCAGCTCTTTCATAGTAGAGTACGAAGTACTCTTAATCATTAACCAGACATTAAACAGGCATATTTGTGACGCCGCGTATACAAATTGAAGTTATCTAAATCGTTAACCACTCTCTCTAAACACACGGGTCCTCAAACGACCAAGGGACGGCTCTCAGCTCTCCCATAGTAGGGTACCGAGTACTCTAAATCGTTCACCACTTTTTCTAAACACACACATGAATAGGACGGCTCTATGCTCTCCCATAATAGAATGCCAATTACATTGAATCATCAACCCCATTTTATAAACACACATCAAATAGAAGCGTACCTAGTACTCAACATCGTTAAGAACTTTTTTTTTTCAATACACAGCGTACGGGACAGCTTTGTGCTCTCCCATAGTATAGTATCAAGTACTCAAAATTGTTAAACACTTTTTTCAAAACACGTACGCTGTTCTCTTCTGTTGCTGATGTTTTCAGCTTTAGGGTCGGCTCACTGCTCTCACCCAGTCCCGGTTGCGTACGACGTTCTCGAAATCATTAACCACTTTTCGTACACACAGGTTAGACACCAAAAAACGCCGGGACGGCTTTACGTTCTCCCATGATACCTCGTACTCTAAACCTTCACCACGTTTACTAAACACAATAGAGTGCCCAGTACGCTAGATTGTTAAGCACTTTTTCTAAACACACATGATGGCATGCCGACAGAAGTCTGAGACGGCTTGAGGCTCTCTCCCACAGTAGAGATACGAAGTGCTCTAAATCGTTAACAGTTTTCCTGAGCCTCCTCACCGGGACGTATTATGGCTCTCCTATATATCTATTCACTTATTTATTCATTAAACAATACTGCCAATCTCAACAGAGAACTTAGCAGGGAGGGCATATCAAAACATATTTGTTTACACGAAATATACTCGTTAAAATTACAAAAATGAGAATTACAAAATGCATATAAATAATAATTATACAATGTCATAATAAAAACTGACTTTCAAACAAGTTTAGTAACAACGAGAACATGGACTAGAGTTCTACTAAAAGCTAATGAAAAAAGGGTAAGGTATGCATTTGTAAGATGGCTTAAGTCAACAATTACGCAATATTATTGAGCAAATTATTTTAACAATAGGCTGATCAAAGAACATGTCACCAAAATATGCGATCATATAAAACAACAACTCTATAATAACATAATACAGAATCATCCCTTATTTGGTTTATTGATGCTGTAATGCCGTTATTGCGATTTGTGAAGTGATCAGTTTGCTTTCAATTCCAGCTCTAAATAAGCTTATGGATTAGTCACTGGTTAGGATAGGTCTCAGTCACTTTCAATCTTCCATGGTTTGAGAAAAAAAATGAATATCTGAAACAATAAGTGGTGAACGAATATTCAGCAAGAGTATGGCAATGATTATGATGAGTTGGTCTGCCATGAAAAAAAAGATATATACCTTGAAGTAATCATTTTTATTCTGTCACGAAGTAGTTGAAACATTACGTTTGGCCTTGTTAGTTTTATTTGTTTTTTTTGCGTCAAAATTCTAGCGTTGTTAAGGAGGTCTGTCGGTCAGCCCGTCAGTAAGTCTATACATGTCAAAAATAAATGTTATTGCTTTCCTTTCAACCGCTTCTATTTTATTATTCTGTGGGTGGGTAAACGGGAACCAGACAGGGCCAGCATATTCTGGTACAGATCTGATGAGGGTTGCATAAAGTACTAGATTAGTATTCGCTATTAGTGGTGCATTGTTCAATTGTCTTTTCAGTAAAAACAATATTTTAGGGCAGTGATTGTTATCTTATCATTCTGAGTATTCCATCTCAGCCTGGAGTGCGTAAGTATATGGGGCTTCAAAACATTCACAATATATTCTAAACCCCCAATTTCGAGGATCGCAGATTTAGGCAACTGTTATCTCCATGTCTGTATGCTTAATTCTTCCAGTCGTTTACAATCTACGAATAAATGTAAGATCTGCTTACAACCACTTACCTCCCAGCCTGAAAACACTTGTGCGGATGCCCGTGTGTATAAAACAAATTGCTAACGATTCAGGGTGTTATTGCCTCCCTGCATACACTATGAGACAGCAGCAAGCTTTTCCTGTGCACACACGACGCCGAAGCAAGGCGTCTTTAGAAAAAATGGGCATATCCCACGTACAGTGGGAATCGATGATATGCGAAGCACAAATGAGGAAGGTTGATATGTCACTTCAATATCAGCAACACTTTACGAGGTGGAAATAAATTATGCCGTACAAGACT